GCTAATGTTGGGAATTAAAGTTAAAGCTGATAATCATAAATTCGCCGAAGAACTAAGTCATCGCGGCCTTCTGACCATTGGTACTACAGCAGATCAAGTAGTAAGAATCTTGCCGCCATTGATTATCACTGAACGCGAGATTGATGAAGGGATTGAGATTTTATACAATTACTTATCAGAAAATTAAACGGACTTTCTTAAGGTAGCAACAAGTAAAATTTCAGGAATAAGTTTTAGGTGATATATATGGTTCACCACGGAAATTCATAACATTATTAAATTTATTCTTACACATTAAAAACGTCTTATCGCAGCCTGCAAGTATTGAATACTGATCACCAACAGAAATTTTGCATGGAGGAGCAGTAAATAACGTAACCATCTTATTCCTATAATCTTTAACAATGGCCTCAAATTCTGCAAATTTTACTACCCCGTGTTTATAATACTCATCATCCTCAACTAAATTTGTGTCTTTAAACCTTTTGTCATCCACCACATCGGTTACAACACTTACTTTACTGAACTTTTTAGCATCAATTTTGCACTTATCATCACAGAATTGTGCCCTGCATGTGGGTGAATATAAATCCACTATACTCCTTTCAAGCTTAGATGAAATTCCTCTAATTTCAACGATAAATCTACCATTGTTTAATATTACTTTACCGAAAGTACCGGAGTGTAAATTCATTGTCCCTTGACTTAAATTCGTGTAATTTACAAGAAATATTTCAACTTCTGCAAAATCATATTTGCCAGCCAGAACATCCTCTTCTTTTATGTCATCACTGTCTAATATTCCAGTGATTTCAAGATTATCTGATTTTAGGCTACTATTTAGCGTAACGCTGCCAGCAGTAAATCCCCTGGAAGATTTATAAATTATCTCATCAATATTTAAATCCTGATCACAATCAGTAAATCCCATCATTTTCCCGTCGGCAAGCTTTAACTTCCAGCACATAGCAATGGTTAACACTTCTTCTGCTAAATGACTTTTGAGTGCAGTACTCATGATAGCCCCCTTAATTTTTAAGAGAGTATATAAATCACTGTTACACCACCGAAGTAAATTTTCACAACAATAATAAAAACGGATTAAGTTAGTGAAAGTATATAACTTAACACTCCTCCATTTTTGAGGTATTCCACTTCAATAAGTGTTTCAACACAGCATTTAAGTTGAAATAATTGTTCAGAATTATCTTTTCTTCTTACTCGGCACTCTAAATTGGCATGCGGCATTACTTTTCCTGTTATACTGATTGTCTCATTACCTTCGAACATTTTTCTATTTATCCCACCTTGAAATACAAGCGGTAGAACCCCCATACCAACTAAATTCGATCTATGTATACGTTCAAAGCTCTCTGCAATAACAGCTTTTACTCCAAGCAATAACGTACCCTTCGCAGCCCAATCTCTACTTGAACCTGTGCCATATTCTTTTCCTGCAATAATGACTAAAGGTGCATTACTTTCCTTGTAACGCATAGCCGCATCAAATATTGGCATGACTTCTCCTGAAGGAATATGTTTTGTATAGCCCCCTTCAATATCAACCATTTCATTTTTTATTCTTATGTTAGCAAAAGTTCCACGCATCATAACATTGTGGTTGCCACGACGTGACCCATAGGAATTAAAGTCCTTTGGCTCAACCCCTAGTTCTTTTAAATATATACCTGCAGGGCTATTGAGAGCTATATCGCCTGCTGGAGAAATATGGTCAGTTGTAACACTATCACCAAGAATTGCTAATATTTGCGCATCCTCTATATCACTTNTCAGATGATGAGTTATCAAAATAAGGTGGGTTTTGTATATAAGTGCTGCTGGCATCCCAGTTATAAATTTCACTTTCTTCACATTCTATTTCTTGCCAACCAAGGAATACATCACTATATTTTTGCATGAACATTTCACGTGTCACAACTTTATTAACGTAGTCCTCAATCTCGCGATTCGTTGGCCATATATCTTTTAGATATACATAATTCCCATTTTCATCTTGGCATATAGGATCTTTAGTTAAGTCTATCTTCACAGTACCTGCAAGTGCATATGCAATCACTAATGGCGGAGAAGCTAAATAGTTAGCTTTAACTAAAGGATGCACTCTACCTTCAAAATTACGATTACCTGATAAAACCGCAGCTACTGTTAAATCTTTGCTTTTTATATCATTTTCTATGTCTTGATTTAATGGACCAGAGTTTCCTATGCATGTAGTGCAACCATATCCAACTAAGTTAAAACCCAAAGCGTCCAGATTTTCTTGTAAACCAGATTTTTCAAGGTATTCTGTCACCACCTTTGATCCAGGTGCAAGTGAAGTTTTAACCCAAGGCTTAGACCTCAATCCAAGTTTTGCTGCATTACGTGCAACAAGACCCGCAGCTATCATCACATTTGGATTGGAAGTATTAGTACAGCTTGTGATTGCCGCAATAACCACACTCCCATCCTGTAACACATCACTTTTTTTAACTTCTACAGTAGGAAACGACCTAGAAAACGACTCCACTACTTGCGATAAAAAAATCTT